CCTACGTGCTCGAGGGTTGCCATTCGCCTGAGATCTGGGCTAATCTCGCCGACCTCAATTCTCAATTCGCGAAAACGTTGAAAGCGCTACCCGTCTGACGTGGCTGGACGACCGCGCCAAAAGTCGGAGCCAGACCTTAGGAGTTCGCAATTATACGGGCGTCCGCAGCCGTCTATCCCTGGTGTGGCCGTCACGGGGGTGGAAGAGGCTTCCGATCACGGGGAAAACGGGGATCGCCGAGCCACCATGATCAACGGGGGTATGGGGCGGAACCCGACGGACCCTAATGACGTCCCCTACGCTCCCCAATCATATTCTCCCGGCCGGAGGTTAGGCCTTTCTCAAACGTTCCGGAACAAGTTCGGAAGTGGGGCATGAGAAACGATGGCCGCTCCGACACCCTCGGGTTCTTGGAGGACCTAGAGAAACGAGCTATTACGTATGGTATAGCCCTCGATAGATTGCCAGGGGTAATGAGCGAGGTGTTTTTCGACAGGGCCGCTCGGTGGTTCTTGAGCAGCGGGCTTAGAGATGTGCCATGGTCGGTGTTCAGGAGGGGTTTCTTGGAGTTCTTCCTAACCCCACGCTACTTCGAAAGGTTTGAGGACGAGATCCGGTCCCGCAGGCAACGCGTGGGGGAGGAGTTCAAGGAGTACCTGATAGATCTACGAAAACGCTGCTTCCGAATACAAACTCTACGTGCGTCGGCAAGATTTCTCCACGCTGGCACAGCTGAACCAGCTGGCAGTATGAAACGGTGATGAGACAGCGAGCGGAATATTCCGGAAGCAGGGCAGGGAGTCAGGTGGTCGCGAGCTCAAGTAGCGCGGAGTGGGAAAGGACGGTACAGCCCCCGGGGAGACCTTAATCCATTTCGGACTACTCCCACGGATCCGGAGCGATCGTTGTGGATAGACAAGCCCTCGCCCCGCCGCCGCGACGGCCCCTGCGGAAGTGGCTCATCGAATGATGAACCAAGAGGCCGGAACCGGGTATGATCCGCGACGAGCATGTCCAGGTGCACAGGAGGGGCACTATACCAGGGAATGTCCTAATGCATCCGTTTTATTTTGTTGGGTATGTGGGCACCGGGGCAGAAGTAGTCAGGATTGTTGTCGCCGCACGGAGGCGCGAAACGGGAACGGCGTCGCCCAGGTCAGGGTCGGGTCGACGCCAACACATACGGGACGCGGTAGTAGTACACCCGCTTAAGGTGGAGGGTGGCCTGATCGTCGCCACGGTGGAGATTGCCGCGCGGGGCGGTGCCTGCTACCATCGACACAGGGGCCACTCGCAGCTTTATGAGTGAAGACTGCGTACGTATGTGGGCAGTTCGGGGGATAGTGGAGAACGTACAGGCGCGCATTCTACTGGCAGATGGGTCCACGCTCGAATTAGGGAAGGCCTTGAGGATAGACGTCGACCTAGCGGGGAAGACAGTCAGCATGTTAATGCTTATCATGCCCGCAATGCTGGACCACGTCATCCTGGGGATGGACTTCTTGGGTACAATGGGCACTATGATACACTGCGGCAAGCTGGAGCTGGTCCTAGAGGCGGTGACGTCTCCCGCCGCGGGGCCTGAAACCAGGGAAGAGCCGATAAAAGGCCTCACGCGCGAAGGAACGGGAGTGCCTACTCGGCGGAAAAGAGCAAGAACCGGAGGAAGGCCTCCCAGGTCATGAAAGGGGAGCACCTGCTCGGCAACGGAAAAAGGATAGCAAGAGGGAACCGGAGGAAGGCCCAGGTCAGAAAGAAAGACCCGGCTGCCCGACTACCTACGGAAAGAGGAACCAGGAAGGGAACGTCAAAGGGGTCTCACGCAGAATTGAACCAAGCGCTTAAAGAGTCCAAAAGGCGGCGTGTAGACTTTCAGCGACAGGTCTACGCTGGTCGTAGAGGCGGCACGGAAAGGGGCCAGATAACGGAGGGCTACGATCAATGGACTGGTGCAAGGAAGAGGCGAGACGCGGAGCGAACCCCGCACCGAAGAGGCTGAGTGGCCAGCTGATCTGGATCAGGAACTTAGTGAGTTCCTGGAGTCGGATCTGGCACTATTTGCGGGGGCGCAGGGAGTCTCGCATATCGCGGAGCACAGGATCCGGCTAAAGGACGACAAGCCATTAAACCAGCGATATTATCCGAAAGAATCCGGCCATGCAGAGGCGGACAGGTAGATGAGCTGATACGGGCAGGTGCCATCGAGCCGTCGCGCAATCTGCACAGCGCCCCAATCGTCTTAGTCAAGAAAAAGACTGGCGAATGGCGCATGTGCATCGACTACCCGCAACTCAACGCGCATTCAATCCCTGATGCTTATCGTGTTCCCCGGATTAATCACATCCTTGGGCGGTTGCGTCACGCCCGGTTCATTTCCACTCTGGATTTGAAGCACGGGTATTGGCAGATACCGATGGCAGCCGATAGTCGGGAATATACGGCTTACACGGTCCCCGGAAAAGGACTTTTGCAATGGCGCGTGATGAAGAGCCCCCGTCCCCCCCACTTGCGTCACACTCGCCCAGGTCGTCTGGGACGACGATCCCGTTAGCATTCGGCGAGGTGGGCGAGACTGCGGACGAGGAGGAACCCCAATCGTTCAAAACAGGCAGGCACAGGTCCTCCGCGCAATTCGTGCCGATGGACGTAGAGAAGGCGAGAATCTTCCCGTCGGCGGCAGAGACGGAGTCAGCCCCGATGGAGGCAGCAAGCTACGTCCCAGTGGCCCGTACGAAGACGGACCAGACGAACCGCAGCCCGGGTCTTACAGCGGAGGGGAGCCCGACGGTGCCAAAGCCCCCGCCGGCTAATCAGATGCTGACAGACCGCCGCCGCTTCACCACCCATCGTCTAGAGGTGGAGCCCGGGAGCCAGTTCCCCCGAAGAAAGCTGCGCTACTGGCCAAAGGTTCCCGAGGAGGCTAGGGCACCCCGTTCTGGGCGCTCGAAGCTTGGGAGGGCGAGCACAGGGAAAGGACCGGGCGGGAAACGCCGGCGTAACAGCCACCGTCGGCCCGCGGCCACCTGCAATAAGCGCCATCAAAGTGGGAGCCGATGCATAACCAGCCCTGAAAGGTCGCCACCGACGGCCCCGAAGAAATTTCGTTCGGGGACCGGAACGGTCGAAGGTCCGCAGCAGCGTGTGCCGGTTTCGCTAGCGAGCCGGCACTTTTTTTGACAACGATTAGAGTGAGTAGACGTGTCGAGCAAGGAGCGCGAGTGATAACAAATGAGTGTCCAGCTGAGCGCTGGGGCTCCAAAGCAGTGCGGCAGGGCTTTAGTTTAGAAAACTCATAAGGAATAAGTGAATACAACTAGCAATAAAGAGGAGACAATCAAGTTATGAAAAGAATATGCTGACTTTATATCCTCGGGCGGTTACCTATATGTACTAAACATCAGAAATATCGGAGATTCACCCTAACCTAGAGGGCTAGTGTAGTTGGTGCGAGGCTAAGGTCCGGCAGTGCAGGAGGAGCGAGGCTGTAGCCCGCTAGTGCAGGAAGTGCGAGGCCAAGGCCCGCTAATGTAGTTGGTGCGAGGCCAAGGCCCAATGATGTAGTTGGTGCGTGACCCAGGCCCGCTAGTGCAGCTAGTGCGAGGCTACTGCCCGCTAGTATAGAAAGGGAGGTAGGATTTGGTCTGTATTCATTTCAAACCCTGTGTTAGGCAGAAATGAACACCTGCACAACTTAGGCGATTAAAATCTGAGCAAAATCGAGTACACAGAGTGAACATCGAGAAAAATAACGACGATCGAAAAAGTACAGCGTGCGCCCGCCAGACGGGCGACAGCGAGACCACGCTTGCACACGTGTGCACAGACGCGCGCCGCAGCCGACGTCGACGTCGAAGGGCCGTTAAGGCGTCGCGGCAGAGGCTGTACAGTGGGACGAATTCAACTCGCGTGCGGTGAAAAGTTGGGTTTGTCAGTACAGCCAACGCAAGCAACGAGAACTAGAGTGTTTAAAACTGAACAAAACTAAAGTAACTAAGTGAGAAGTCGAGCTTAAGGAAACCAAAAGTGACTGATTTTGGTTTATTTTTTTTGGTGGCGTGACCAAAAACAAATAAAAAAAAAATAATAATAATAAAATATATTACAATATATACCTCGGCATAAAAAAAAAAAAAAAAAAAATCTATGAAGAAACAGAACCCTGAAAATAATAACAATAATAATCAGTGAAATTTTAGTTTTATTTTTGGTGGAGTGACCAACAAAAAAAAAAAAATAAAAAAACCTAAAATGGAATCAGGTGAGTGTTAAAACCTAGGGGTAGGCGTGCGTTGGATCCACCAGCGACGCAAGGAGGAGCTGGTGACCATCCCCCAGGAGTTTCGGCTAGAAAAGAAAGTGCGTGTGGAAGAGCTGCGTAGGCGGCTGTCTACCTACGTGCAGGAGGGTTACCATTCGCCTGAGATCTGGGCTCGTCTCGCCGAGCTGGAGTCTCAATTCGCAGAAACGTTGGAAGCGCTACCCGTCTGACGTGGCTGGACGACCGCGCCAAAAGTCGGAGCCTGACCTTAGGAGCTCGCAATTATATGGGCTTCCGCAGCCGTCTATCCCTGGTGTGGCCGTCACGGGGGTGGAAGAGGCTTCCGATCCCGAGGAAAACGGGGATCGCCGAGGCACCACGATCAACGGGGGTATGGGGCGGAACCCGACGGACCCTTATGACGTCCCCTACGCTCCCCAACAATATTCTCGGCCGGAGGTTAGGCCTTTCTCAAACGTTCCGGAACAAGTTCGGAAGTGGGGCATGAGATACGATGGCCGCTCCGACACCCTTGGGTTCTTGGAGGACCTAAAGGAACGAGCCATTACGTATGGTATAGCCCTCGATAGATTGCCAGGGGTAATGAGCGAGGTGTTTTTTCGACAGGGCCTTGGTGGTTCTTGAGCAGCGGGCTTAGAGATGTGCCATGGTCGGTGTTCAGGAGGAGTTTCTTGGAGTTCTTCCTACCCCCACCCCCACGCTACTTCGAAAGGCTTGAGGACGAGATCCGGTCCCGCAGGCAACGCGTGGGGGAGGAGTTCAAGGAGTACCTGATAGAGCTGAGAGCTCTGATGCACCACGCCAGGTACGAGCCGGTGCAGGAGTTGCACCGGATCTACCAAAACGCTGCTTCCGAATACAAACTCTACGTGCGGCAGCAAGATTTCTCCACGCTGACACAGCTGAACCAGCTGGCAGTGGAGTATGAAACGGTGATGAGACAGCGAGCGGAATATTCCGGAAGCAGGGCAGGGAGTCAGGTGGTCGCGAGCTCAAGTAGCGCGGAGTGGGAAAGGACGGTACAGCCCCCGGGGAGACACCTTAATCCATTCCGGACTACTCCCACATCGGATCCGGAGCGATCGTTGTGGATAGACAAGCCCTCGCCCCGCCGGCGACGGCCCCTGCGGAAGTGGCTCATCGAATGATGAACCAAGAGGCCGGAACCGGGTATGATCCGCGAAGAGCATGTCCCAGGTGCGCACAGGAGGGGCACTATACCAGGGAATGTCCTAATGCATCCGTTTTATTTTGTTGGGTATGTGGGCACCGGGGCAGAAGTAGTCAGGATTGTTGTCGCCGCACGGAGGCGCGAAACGGGAACGGCGTCGCCCTGGTCAGGGTCGGGTCGACGCCAACACATACGGGACGCGGTAGTAGTACACCCGCTTAAGGTGGAGGTGGCCTGATCGTCGCCACGGTGGAGATTGCCGCGCGGGCGGTGCCTGCTACCATCGACACAGGGGCCACTCGCAGCTTTATGAGTGAAGACTGCGTACGTATGTGGGCAGTTCGGGGGATAGTGGAGAACGTACAGGCGCGCATTCTACTGGCAGATGGGTCCACGCTCGAATTAGGGAAGGCCTTGAGGATAGACATCGGCCTAGCGGGGAAGACAGTCAGCACGTTAATGCTTATCATGCCTGCAATGCTGGACCACGTCATCCTGGGGATGGACTTTTTGGGTGCAATGGGCACTATGATACGCTGCGGCAAGCTGGAGCTGGTCCTAGAGGCGGTGACGTCTCCGGCCGCGGGGCCTGAAACCAGGGAAGCCGAAAAAAGGCCTCACGCGCGAAGGAACGGGGGTGCCTACTCGGCAGCCGATTGCAGAAAAGAGCAAGAACCGGAGGAAGACCTCCCAGGTCATGAAAGGGGAGCAACTGCTCGGCAACAGAAAGAGAATAGCAAGAGGGAACCGGAGGAAGGCCTCCCAGGTCAGAAAGAAAGACCCGGCTGCCCGACTACCTACGGAAAGAGGAACCAGGAAGGGAACGTCAAAGGGGTCTCACGCAGAATTGAACCAAGCGCTTAAAGAGTCCAAAAGGCGGCGTGTAGACTTTCAGCGACAGGTCTACGCTGGTCGTAGAGGCGGCACGGAAAGGGCCAGATAACGGAGGGGTTACCATCAATGGAGTGGTGCAAGGGGGTGGTGAGACGCGCAGCGAGCCCGGCACCGAGGAGGCTGAGTGGCCAGCTGATCTGGATCCGGAACTTAGGGAGTTCCTGGAGTCGGATCTGGCACTATTTGCGGGGGCGCAGGGAGTCTCGCATATCGCGGAGCACAGGATCCGGCTAAAGGACGACAAGCCATTAAACCAGCGATATTATCCGAAGAATCCGGCCATGCAGAGGTTGATTGACGAACAGGTAGATGAGCTGATACGGGCAGGTGCCATCGAGCCGTCGCGCAATCCGCACAGCGCCCCAATCGTCTTAGTCAAGAAGAAGGCTGGCGAATGGCGCATGTGCATCGACTACCGGCAACTCAACGCGCATTCAATCCCAGATGCTTATCCTGTTCCCAGAATTTATCACATCCTTGAGCGGTTGCGTCACGCCCGGCTCATTTCCACTCTGGATTTGAAGCACGGGTATTGGCAGATACCGATGGCAGCCGATAGTCAGGAATGTACGGCTTACACGGTCCCCGGAAAAGGACTTTTGCAATGGCGCGTGATGAAGAGCCCCCGTCCCCCCCACTTGCGTCACACTCGCCCAGGTCGTCTGGGACGACGATCCCGTTGTCATTCGGCGAGGTGGGCGAGACTGCGGACGAGGAGGAACCCCAATCGTTCAAAACGGGCAGGCACAGGTCCTCCGCGCAATTCGTGCCGATGGACGTAGAGAAGGCGAGAATCTTCCCGTCGGCGGCAGAGACGGAGTCAGCCCCGATGGAGGCAGCAAGCTACGTCCCAGTGGCCCGTACGAAGACGGACCAGACGAACCGCAGCCCGGGTCTTACAGCGGAGGGGAGCCCGACGGTGCCAAAGCCCCCGCCGGCTAATCAGATGCTGACAGAGGACGAGGGATGCGAACCGGCCTTCCGCCGCCGCTTCACCACCCATCGTCTAGAGGTGGAGCCCGGGAGCCAGTTCCCCCGAAGAAAGCTGCGCTACTGGCCAAAGGTTCCCGAGGAGGCTAGGGCACCCCGTTCTGGGCGCTCGAAGCTTGGGAGGGCGAGCACAGGGAAAGGACCGGGCGGGAAACGCCGGCGTAACAGCCACCGTCGGCCCGCGGCCACCTGCAATTAGCGCCATCAAAGTGGGAGCCGATGCATAACCAGCCCTGAAAGGTCGCCACCGACGGCCCCGAAGAAGTTTCGTTCGGGGACCGGAACGGTCGAAGGTCCGCAGCAGCGTGTGCCGGTGCGTGCGTAGGCCCGCTAGTGCAGCTAGTGCGAGGCTACTGTTCATACCCTGTTCATACCCTTCATACCCTGTGTTAGGCAGAAATGAACACCTGCACAACCTAGGCGAACAAAATCTGAGCAGAATCGACTACACAGAGTGAACATCGAGAAAAATAACGACGATCGAAAAAGTACAGCGTGCGCCCGCCAGACGGGCGACAGCGAGACCACGCTTGCACACGTGTGCACAGACGCGCGCCGCAGCCGACGTCGACGTCGAAGGGCCGTTAAGGCGTCGCGACAGAGGCTGTACAGTGGGACGAATTCAACCAGGGAGTCAGGTGGTCGCGAGCTCAAGTAGCGCGGAGTGGGAAAGGACGGTACAGCCCCCGGGCGGACACCTTAATCCATTCCGGACTACTCCCACATCGGATCCGGAGCGACTCTTTGTGGATAGACAAGCCCTCGCCCCGCCGGCGACGGATCCTGCGCAAGTGGCTCATCGAATGATGAACCAAGAGGCCGGAACCGGGTATGATCCGCGACGAGCATGTCCCAGGTGCGCACAGGAGGGGCACTATGCCAGGGAATGTCCCAATGCACCCGTTTTGTTTTGTTGGGTATGTGGGCACCGGGGCAGAAGTATTCAGGATTGTTGTCGCCGCACGGAGGCGTGAAACGGGAACGGCGTCGCCCAGGCAAGGGTCGGGTCGACGCCAACACATACGGGACGCGGTAGTAGTACACCCGCTTAAGGTGGAGGGCGGCCGGATCGTCGCCACGGTGGGAGATTGGCGGGCGGGCGATGGCTGCTACCATCGACACAGGGGCCACTCGCAGCTTCATGAATGAAGACTGCGTACGTATGTGGGCGGTTCGGGGGATAGTGGAGAACGTACAGGCGCGCATTCTACTGGCAGATGGGTCCACGCTCGAATTAGGGAAGGCCTTGAGGATAGACGTCGGCCTAGCGGGGAAGACAGTCAGCATGTTAATGCTTATCATGCCCGCAGTGCTGGACCACGTCATCCTGGGGATGGACTTCTTGGGTGCAATGGGCACTATGATACGCTGCAGCAAGCTGGAGCTGGTCCTAGAGGCGGTGACGTCTCCGGCCGCGGGGCCTGAAACCAGGGAAGAGCCGAAAAAAGGCCTCACGCGCGAAGGAGCGGGAGTGCCAACTCGGCAACCGATTGCAGAAAAGATCAAGAACCGGAGGAAGGCCTCCCAGGTCATGAAAGGGGAGCACCTGTTCGGCAACAGAAGGAGAATAGCAAGAGGGAACCGGAGGAAGGCCTCCCACGTCAGAAAGAAAGACCCGGCTGCCCGACTACCTACGGAAAGAGGAACCAGGAAGGGAACGTCAAAGGGGTCTCACGCAGAATTGAAGCAATTGTTTTCATTACATTACCGGAATGATTGAATTGGCCTTGTGGAATATTATTTACTTAATATTGCTGGATTATTAAGTAATCCTAAATACAGATGAAATAAAAATAAATATGAAATGTATAAAATGTAAAATTCTGTTAATATGTTACCTATACTGTAATTTGGACTATTGTCGTTTCCTCCTCCATTTTTGCTGCCATCCAACACAAAATTGTATGATGACCTCATTATTATGTGTATCAATTAAAGGAAAGAAAGTGTGTATACCAATTTCTTTGAAACGAAATATTTTGCATGATATTTTTTCAACCTTTTGTAGCACACTTTTGAGTCAAAATTGAGTTCTTTAGAAGAGAATATTGTAGTGGCGCTTGAAGCAAGAATAATTTGTTTGAGTTTAGATAAACAGCCCAAAAATAGACAATGTAAATCCAGTCAAGGTCTTGTACCTTGCTTACCCTAGTCTCACCATCTTTGGCTCAACCCAGGCGTGATATCGCTGAAACAGAAAAATTGTAGAGGAAAGTTGATTTGATAATTGGAAATGGCGTCTGTCCTGGTGTCGCTGTTAGCTTCCCCTAAGGCGATCGGAGCTCAGATTTTTCTTTTACCTTCGGTCCACCGTGAAGAAAGGTTCACTTAAAAAAGTAAGAACGTGCGCCTATTTACAATCGCGCTTAACCTCTTAGGATCAGTATTTTCTGAAGCATCATTTATAATAGAATTCTAAGTGCCCATATCGTTTCCACTTCTCAGCCGCCAGTTGGCCGCAATAATTAATTGAGAAACTGAACCTAATAAGAGAAACTGAAACAAAAAAAATAAAAAAAGTGCTAGGCCCAATCAGAGGTAAGTTAGATTTTTGGTAGAGATTTTTGCGGAGTAAGTTATCTATTATCGGAACTAGGAGCACCTACATCTAAAATTTCAAGTCTCTAGCTCTAATAGGTTCTAAGATCCTAGCGTTCATATACGGACGGACGGACGAACGGACGAACTGACGGACGAGCTGACGGACGGACGGACAGACAGACGGACATGGCGAAATCGACTCGACTATTGATGCTGATCAAGAATATATATAGTTTATCGGGTCGGAGGTGCTTCCTTCTGCCTGTTACATACATATGGATATTGCACAAATACAATATTCCCCTATATACAATATACCCTTATATATAAAAATACGAAACTCCGTTGCCTTAAAATCTGTCGAGATTGTCTAAAGATCTAACTTCTCTATTGAATTCTCTTGGTAAGATGCGTATTGGTTTTATTATTAAGCGAGGTTAGTTAGTGTCGTTTCAAAGAAAAGGAATGTCCTCTCGCTAAAGCCACTAAAACTGATTTTGTCACGCCAAGACAAACTACGTGCATATAGTCTAGTGGAAACTGATGTACTAAATCAATCGCAAATTTTCAAGAATGAGTTTGCTTTGTATGTTGTGGTGCTCTGGTTGATGGAGGATTACATGATCTTACTCGCCTGTTAAGAGTTTCTCCCTTCTGAACGCAATAGTTGCATGAGGAAAACTCAGAGTGGTATTTCACACCCAAATGAAGGCGCGGGCCGGCGCATCGCAAATAAATGATCTAATAGATATTTTGAATTGCGTATCTCGAAATATCATGCCCTCTGTGATCAATTCCGATAATTCACAGACAAGTGGTCGCAAAATGATTTAATTATTCTCTGAAAGAGAATAGTTTAGTTTTTAATTTACACTTGTTAAAGACTTAGCTCTCTAGCAAAGAGAACAAAGGAATTTTTCAACCATCAAAAAATGGTCTGAGTAGGAAAAAATAACAAAACAACACAGCATCCGAATGCCACGTTCTCTCGTTCTCATGACAATGTTTTACTCTCTGAACACAATTAACTTTTGAAACAAAAACTTCTCTCTACTGTACACGCATTTTTATCGCAAGGATCTGACTGCAACGCTCGTGTGCAAGTGATTAGCGAAAAAGAAAAATATCCCATTCGTTTTCTGCTCACATGCGAGCTCTTTTGAGAATTTTGCGAGACTCTCTCTAAAGGCTCTCGTGTTGTTCCGCTGCGAAGACACACATACACACACAAATGGTCACTAGCGCTGGCGGGAAATCATTGCCGATTTAACGCGGCATAACCGATTATAGATTGTCACATTAAATATTCTTCAAAGCACTAGAATAACCGAAGAATTGTTTAATTTTAGTTGCACTGGAACTTATTAAAACGAATATTAAGTTTTTATTTGTTTTATATCTAAGAAAACGCAAATTCTTAGAATCGTAATCGCAATCGAGAATCGACGACCGCACAAATAGATGGTTGGTTGAAAAGTGAATGGCAATTTCGTTTGTCTCGCCTGACAATAGCTCCCTTTCAAAGTTCAATTAATATTTTCATTGCGCGCACTTTCAGCGACATTTGAATGCAAAAGATCATTTATCGAATCAATAATACAATAGTTTCATATTACAGTTGTATAACTAAAAGCATATATACTTATGCGTAAGTAGATATATTTTGCGAATATACAACTAAATGTATTTGCGCTTCTGTCATAAATGTAAATAATATTAAATAAAATATTAAAACATAAAACAACATATTTTAATTTGTTTACATAGATTAAAAATTGATTTACGATAGGACTTCCACGTTTAGGTAATTTGAACAATTTTCGCACATATATAATGTGAGGCGGCTACCAGAAGTAGCCCCTCCACAGTTGCAAACTCACGGCAAGGACCGGCATTTGCGTCGCCAAGGTCATGGCAAGGAGCCACTAGCAGTATTATCTGATAAGTCCGATAGTTTATAAGCATCAAATGTAATAGGATAAGGTAATAGATTTGTTAGGGGCAATAAGCCGTCGATATTGAAATTAAGTTTAAGTAGCACTGTAAGGCAAGGAGCCGTTCACCGCATAGCCTGTGCTTCATTAGGATAAGTACGTAGATATGAGCCTAGTTTAAATTTAACCGCCGGCCACCGCTGCAACCGTGCGTTGCTGATCGGTTGCTCAACACTGCCTTCGAGAGCGCAGCTTCACTTCGGCGGCGAAGAGCGAAAGCTCCGAAGCGAGGCTGCGAAAGCTAACGTCGAAGTTGAGCGGCCGAAGCATGCGCACGGCTCGCTAGCGAGCGAGCCGGCACTTTTTTGGACAACGATCAGAGTGAGTAGACGTGTCGAGCAAGGAGCGCGAGTGATAACAAATGAGTGTCCAGCTGAGCCCTAGGGCTACAACGCAGCGCGGCAGGCTTTAGTTTAGAATACTCATAAGGAATAAGTGGATAAAACTAGCAATAAAGAGGAGACAATCAAGTGATGAAGAGAATATGCTGACTTTATATCCTCGGGCGGTTACCTACATGTGCTAAACATCGGAAATGTCGGAGGTTCACCCTAACCTAGAGGGCTAGTGTAGTTAGTGCGAGGCTAAGGTCCGGCAGTGCAGTAGGCGCGAGGCTGTAGCCCGCTAGTGCAGGAAGCGCGAGGCTGTAGCCAGCTAGTGCAAGAAATGCGAGGCCAAGGCCCGCTAATGTAGTTGGTGCGAGGCCAAGGCCCGATGATGTAGTTGGTGCGTGACCCAGGCCCGCTAGTGCAGCGAGTGCGAGGCTACTGCCCGCTAGTATAGAGAGAGAGGTAGGATTTGGTCTTTATTCATTCATACCTTGTGTTAGGCAGAAATGAATACCTGCACAACCTAGGCGAACAAAATCTGAGCAGAATCGAGTACACAGAGTGAACATCGAGAAAAATAACGGCGATCGAAAAAGTACAGCCTGCGCCCGCCAGACGGGCGACAGCGAGACCACGCTTGCACACGTGTGCACAGACGCGCGCCGCAGCCGACGTCGACGTCGAAGGGCCGTTAAGGCGTCGCGGCAGAGGCTGTACAGTGGGACGAATTCAACCTGCGTGCGGTGAAAAGTTGGGATCGTCAGTACAGCCAACGCAAGCAACTAGAACTAGAGTGTTTAAAACTGTACAAAACTAAGGTAACTAAGTGAGAAGTCGAGCTTAAGGAAACCAAAGTGACTGATTTTGGTTTATTTTTCTTAGTGGCGTGTCCAAAAAAGCTGCGTAGGCGGCTGTCCACCTACGTGCTCGAGGGTTGCCATTCGCCTGAGATCTGGGCTAATCTCGCCGACCTCAATTCTCAATTCGCGAAAACGTTGAAAGCGCTACCCGTCTGACGTGGCTGGACGACCGCGCCAAAAGTCGGAGCCAGACCTTAGGAGTTCGCAATTACGGGCGTCCGCAGCCGTCTATCCCTGGTGTGGCCGTCACGGGGGTGGAAGAGGCTTCCGATCACGGGGAAAACGGGGATCGCCGAGCCACCATGATCAACGGGGGT